GTTCGTCGCATAAGGAACAACTGAATTGGTATTTTTTCTCAAGTACTTCTTTTCGAACAAGCTGTGCTACTCTCATCAGCATAACAGCTTCATCATCTGGATCAGGACGGCAGGCATCGAGCAAGGCATCACAAATATCGTCTTTGAATGACAATACAGTGCCAAAGTTGCTATTATGGGCTTCAATATCTGGCATATGGCGCAGAAGCTTTTGCGTACGTCTGGTTGAATGAATGTTTCCAGTTGTGACACCGCCTAATCTTTTTAGGCTTTCATTATACAATGCCTTGAGATCAGAGTTTGAGAATTTGAAACCGGTCTCCACATAATTGTCCAAATTCCTCAATTTATGTCACCACCTCCGCAAATGCAAGTGAGTGTGCACTAATTTGTTGACACTTCTCCGTCGAATGACTTTGAGATCTCTGTTTGTTATAATATGATGTCAAGCACTTTAAGTGATATACACCATCAATTGCAATCATGTTGCTAGAAACAGATATTTTTCGTCACACTTACACCGGGCATATATAGACAGTACAGCACTAACAATGGACACACACATATATATAATCAAATATGTGATTGTACCTGCAGAAAAGACAAATTATAAAATCGTGCAATCCATATAAACAACGTTTTATATTGTCTTGTTTGGTTCAGTGCTCTACTAAACTTTTATGAAAGCTTACTGTTACATAATACCGGGTATATGTATCAGAGGTCCCCTCATATGTCGGTGTGAAATTCTCAGAAGTGTCCTTCATTCTGAGGTCTTATCCAACAATTCTGATTGGTCAAATAGAAAAGTGTGTGTTCTCTTCATCTTCGATACGCCGCGTTTGAATGATATCTTAATATTAATGATACGCTACGAGGTCCGTTTTTTTACCTCAGGCCGCAGTCAGGACCTCGGAGTGTTGGTGTGTAAACTCATTCCGGACCCCAATAAACCACGATATGTAAGTGTGTGTGCAAACATACAGACACACACACACACACACACACACACACACACACACACACACACACACACACACACACACACACACACACACACACACACACACACACACACACGATGTTAGCTTATGAGGTATGAGGTAATAGAGAGTGGGTTTGAAGTCGAAAAAGTCAACTACAAAGGACTCCGGTTGCTAGAAACAGATATTTTTCGTCACATTTTGGTTTCCAGATGGTAACTTGTTTTTTTTTTTTTTTTTTTGTTTTTGCTTGAATTGATTGATTGACAGGTTTTCCTTCTCCGTGAATTCTCCTGTGTGCAGGTATCGTCTCATCGACGAACGTCGGCGTTCTGGAGACCTGCACGCTTGAAACTTCATACAATGCTAGCTTACGAGTAAATGCTGAGTGTAATTGATTTTGGGATCGAAAGGTAATTGCGAAGGTCACTGTTTCTAAAAAAAAACTTTTTCGTTTTTCGGTTTCCAGATGAAAATTTCACAGAGGATCGATGGACTGGCTTTAAACTTCATACAACGTTGGCTTCTGAGGTAATATAGAGTTGGATTGAGTTTGGGGTCAAAGAGTCAATCAACTACGAAGTCGCTGTTACTAAAAATAGTCTTTTATCGTCATATTTTGGCTTCCAGTTAATAACTTGTGATAGGGTAAACCAATTGTATTGAAACTTGACGCAATCTAATATTATTAGAGAACATACGGGTGGGATGGGGTTGGGAATGAAAAGGTCAACTGTGGAGGCTGTGAAGATTACTTATTAAAATAGATATTTATCGCTATTTTTGGGGCCCTGCATCAAAGATGTGGGAAGCAAAGTTTGTCAGAATAACACCGGTAGTCAACTGACCAACTTTCAAGGTCACTGTGTCAAAAGGTCAATGTGACGTTTTACATCTTTTCATGTGTATTGTGTTACAATGTAACTGTTATGGTTAAATTTACCTTAAAAAGGCAGACACAAAGCCGGGTCCTTTCTCATATTTCAGTGTTTTGGTTTCTTTTCCAGATATAATTGAATTAGGGATGATGAACTTAATTAAAACTTCACATAGTATTAATTACAAGGGAGTGCATATTAAGTTTTTTTTCGCGTTATTTTCTTGTTTGTGCGTCCTTCCTGTCAAGACACTGGTTTTAGGAGGGAAGACTTTCAATTGATAAAATGAGATATTTGTTCATGGCTATCAAGATCTATGTTGCTTAGAAAATTCAATTAATGGCAGGGGACGAGTGTTGCATGTAACACCAACTGTAAGTTCGTTTTTTCTAGATTTTATTTAAGCATTGATGTCACGCGGATTCATACAGTTTGCAAACAATTCTTTTTCATACCCCTAGGAAACTAAAAAAATGACCTCAACGCTTATAATTAATTTTAAATCCACCGAGTTTAAAATAAAACATAAAAGGAAGTTATTTTTAACGAATTTAATAGTGGCACTTTATATATGCGCAATTACCATGAACTGAACGATATGCAAATGAGCGCGCGCGTTTCAGCTGATCGGATCAGCGGGAAGACGTCGGCCATCTTTCATAGCACACCCAAGCGAGGAATGCTGGGTGGAAAAGTTAATTGTTTTTCCTAAAACTGTTTTTGGCCGAAGTTAAACACGCAGTTTGAAAAGGAAGAGTGAGAAAGAAGTCCAGAGGACATAAAGTTGTTGGAAGAAGCAAGCTGTGTTGGATTCAACGTATGGTTTAATCCTGACACACGTGGTTCACTTGTTACAGTTGATTGTAAGCCAATACTCCGAGTGACGGTCGCTTTTTGTTTATTATTATTATTATTTCCTTTAATGTTTTTATTGGGTTTTTTCAGTAGCACAGTGTATATTTTGGTTCATTTTAAAACAATTTTAAGTACAGTTGGTTTGACACAAACCGGAAGTTGAAGGTGAAGATCAAAGGTTACTGTGAGCCTTTGATGTTGCCGGGGAAAAATAGTTCCTGCGAAGAGGGGGCGTGGCTTATTTTTTTTTCATAGAGGTATGATTTTTTTAGACCAATCAGATTGCAGCATTTGTATGAAAAAAAAGAAAAAAAAATTAATTATAAGAATTTGACAACTTTCTTGATAAGTGTAACATTACAAATAGAAAACATATCTTTCATCTTAGTTATACTAGAAATTTTGTGATAATGTTCAGGAAAGTATTTGTGACGTATTTCTTTTACCAATTCGTTCTAACATCTGTGAAAAGATAATGGTAATGGTACACCTATACACAGCATACACAGAGGGCATATTCTACTCTCTCGAGGCACACCTGTCCATCGACCTGTTCCAGAATTTTAGATTATTGGATGTTCTAAATCGACAGAATATCCTCGTTTCTTCCGGATACAGCTTTACCAAATAAGGCTCTAATACCAATCTGCTTTTAAAAATTGAAAAGGTTTGTCCACGAGAAGAGGCAATTTATCAAGATAACATTTGTTTGAGGAATCTCGGCGCCCATTATTGTGTGATCTTTGTTTGAGGGATTTTTGCGCCCATCATTGTTTGATCTTTGTTTGAGGGATCTTGGCGCCCATCATTGTCTGATCTTTGTTTGTGGGATCTTGGCGCCAATCACTGTTTGAACTTTGTTTGAGAGATCTTGGCGCCAATCATTGTTTGATCTTTGTTTGAAGGATCTTGGCGCCCATCATTGTTTGATCTTTGTTTGAGTGATCTTGGCGCCAATCATTGTTTGATCTTTGTTTGCACTTAGAAATCTGGATCTTTTCCTCTCTTTTCCCTGTTTTTACTCATAATGATAAGATATTTGAACATTCCTTTGCAGATATAGCAAAAATAATCTTTACCTGCCAAGTCGAAAATGGCCGCCTGGGATCCATTAGGTTTCTTCTCATCAGTCCCAAAATCAAAAGGGCACAAGGAGAGACCAAATGGGACATACGTATGAAATTTGAGAGATATCAATTCAGTACATCTTAAGAAATAGTGATAACAAATATTGTTGACAGACGGACGGAAGGGCGGATGCCACATCACAGAGCAAATTCCACGGTTTGGCCTTGAGCTAAGTATCGCTCAGTGCTAACTAGATTCACACGATTACCCGTTGTCAGTATAGTGTGACCGAACGTCATTTTAGCGTGACCAGATTATCATACCTCTGTTTGATGACACTATCAAACCAATTGGCCAATCATGCGTTGAAACCGTCTTCATATGATCCTGGATCCCCTTTCAAAAACAAAAAATAAAACGTCTATATCTGAATTTTATTTTGAAACAAAGCGGTAATTACAAGTCCAATTACAATCCTATTTGGTCGAATGACGCAGTGTTAACAGACATGTCTTTACCTAGTTGTCCAGGGTTCGATTCCTCGATTTGGTTGTAAACAGGAATCTGATAATTTGCACAAACTTTAAGAGTAAGACCAATCGCGCTCTTAAGTTCGGACCAAAAATCAGAAAATAATTTTCAGTCAATCCGTTAAACTTAATTAACATGATGTAACTTACAAGCTCTATTAGTAGGCGGTATGAGGGAAACATGAATTCACATTCCAATATTTTATATCTACAATAATGAATATGCAAATGTTACATTGTGTTATGAAGTTGTCCATTCCAAATGTATAGACGAATAACAATAGGAAACCATGAAAATATATGCATATTACGGTACAAAAAGTTTCGTCAAAATTCCAAAAGCAATACAAAATGTCGCCGTCGTTATGACATTTTGTTTTTTGTAAAGTACGTCCGAACATTTACAAGTTAACGTGGTATTGACTGACGGACATCGTTCAAACACTTGTATCAGTTCTATACCCATTGGTGTTTTCTGCCGCATTTTATTTGTCGACTGGCGATGTGTGAATATCAGTACTGGTCACAGCATCTCAGCCGACTGGCGTTGTCTGAATATCAGTACTGGTCACAGCATCTCCGCCGAATGGCGTTGTTTGAATATCGGTACTGGCCACAACATCTCTGCCGATTGATGTTGTCTGAATATCAGTACTGGCCACAACATCTCTGCCGACTGACGTTGTCTATATATCAGTACTGGTCACAACATCTCTGCCGACTGGCGTTGTCTGAATATCAGTCCTGGTCACAACATCTCTGCCGACTGGCGTTGTCTGACTATCAGTACTGGCCACAACATCTCTACCGACTGGCGTTGTCTGGATATCAGTACTGGCCACAACATCTCTGCCGACTGACGTCTGAATATCAGTACTGGCCACAACATCTCTGCCGACTGACGTTGTCTGAATATCAGTACTGGTCACAACATCTCTGCCGACTGGCGTTGTCTGACTATCAGTACTGGCCACAACATCTCCGCCGACTGACGTTGTCTGAATATCAGTACTGGCCACAACATCTCTGCCGACTGACGTCTGAATATCAGTACTGGCCACAACATCACTACCGACTGACGTTGTCTGAATATCAGTACTGGTCACAACATCTCTGCCGACTGGCGTTGTCTGAATATCAGTACTGGCCACAATATCTCTGCCGACTGGCGTTGTCTGAATATCGATACTTGCAGACGGCAGGTGCTTTGGTCGTGTCGATGATGTTATCTTTATTAAGATCTTCAAGAAAAAGAAAAATGTCAATATTAATTCATGCAACGCCAAAACCGAGCATATATCGAAATAGCTCCGAAAGACCTAAAACTAGTAAAACAAAGGCAAACTTCACAGAAAATAAATATTAACTCGGAAGTCCTTGTAAAAACATAAGACATAGTGCTCCGTAATAGACAGTGACCTCCGTCAAAATTGGTATAATAAAAAAAACAACACGGATGTAATCTTACGTATGCTGTTACCTGTGATATCAATATCAACTTACCGTTCGTCGTTTCCTCCACACAGCTGTAGCAGTGTACAGAAACGGATTGATGGCGGCATTGATAGGCAACACGAACACCATCACCCAGGCGTACACTCCATTCGGGATTTCTACCCCACACTTTGATGCCACTCCTGAAATAAATCGATAGCATTTAATTGTAACACTAAATATCAACTTTGTCATGGACAAGAAAAGACATTTCTTGACATTTACGAAATGTCTTGTTTGAAACAAGAATCCTGGATATTGGCATTGTAAGAATCTGTTACCGCATCATATATCTGGTAAAGACATAATATGGACTTTTATTGGATGTGATGTAAAACAAAGAACAGGACCTTTGAAAAGCTTATCTCCTTTATCTGATTTTTTTTTATCATCAACAAAACCTAGTGAAGAGTCCATATCTTTTACACGATCATTTCGAAACCAGCCAATGGTGGACATTAACCTCGACAAGTGACCACAGCATGGTGGTGTGAATATGGTGGACATCAGCATCGACAAGTTACCACAGCATGGTGGTGTGAATATGGTGGACATTAACCTCGACAAGTGACCACAGCATGGTGGTGTGAATATGGTGGACATTAACCTCGACAAGTGACCACATGGTGGTGTGAATATGGTGGACATTACCCTCAATATGGTGGACATCAGCATCGACAAGTGGCCACAGCATGGTGGTGTGAATATGGTGGACATTAACCTCGACAAGTGACCACCGCATGGTGGTGTGAATATGGTGGACATTAACCTCGACAAGTGACCACCGCATGGTGGTGTGAATATGGTGGACATTAACCTCGACAAGTGACCACCGCATGGTGGTGTGAATATGGTGGACATTAACCTCGACAAGTGACCACCGCATGGTGGTGTGAATATGGTGGACATTAACCTCGACAAGTGACCACCGCATGGTGGTGTGAATATGGTGGACATTAACCTCGACAAGTGACCACAGCATGGTGGTGTGAATATGGTGGACATTAACCTCGACAAGTGACCACAGCATGGTGGTGTGAATATGGTGGACATTAACCTCGACAAGTGACCACAGCATGGTGGTGTGAATATGGTGGACATTAACCTCGACAAGTGACCACAGCATGGTGGTATGAATATGAAATCTCTCCAGAGGTTAATGCTACACCTTGTACACAATATCCATATTTCCAAACTGGTTGAGCTTTCACATTCAACTGTTTCAGATGACAAATAAACTCAGGAGTATACTCCGGAACTGCTGTAATGATGAGCTAGATCTGTTAAAGGTTTCTGGCATATCTTGTCCACCAAAGTTTGCACAAATGCACTGATTATTACCTGCCCCTTTCTAAGCGGAGGTTTTACTATTTAATGAAAAGCTCACAAACGTACCCATTACACCAATGGGAAACCAACAACAAAAGTCTGTCGCTACCACGAAGAAAAGAGTCCTTGCAACAGCCGTCTCTCGTTCTCGATTCTGTGATGATGAAATGCGTCGTCGACTCTCCCTCATGCCTTTCCAGATACAAATTTGACCTACGACAATTACGGTAAACACGGCGCTGTTGAGGCATACAAATACAGCAAATGAATACTCAGTGCCTGGTCGCTGCTCTGCTGTGAGAGGAAGGCCAAGACAAACACTCGACTGAGAGTAGAATTCCCCTTTGAAGTAAGACTGACTAGCTACAATAGGGATGGTTGCAAGAATGATTGAAACTATCCATAAGGAAACTAACACAAGTAATGAGAGTTTCCAGGAATTTCTCCACCGAGAGAGACGGGACAGAGGAAACATGATGGCAATTAATCTGTCTATTGTAACCATTAATATCAGGAATGTCGACATCTCACTTGACACACTCGACAAGATACCTGCTGCAGTACACAAAACACTGTTTCTCCATCTATTGTTGTTCCAGGCGTATACACCATCGTAATAAACATCAATAACTCCTATTATGAATAGATAAACACCCATAAGTAAATCAGACATGGCTAAATTCACAGTGAAGAGCGAATAGTTTTTTGTAATATTATCTTTGTCGATGTGAAGTCTATACACTATTACGGCTAAGTTTCCAATTAAAGAACACATTCCTATTATCCAGAGACAAACTCTTAGTAAAGTCGAACCTATCAGGGCAAAACAAGATGATATCGCATCATTTTCTGATTTACAACGACCAGGATAAAAAGTGCATTGCCATAATGAATACTTTGTTTTAAAGCAATTATTGTCATCAACTGAAGGTGGTTTAACACAACACATAAAGGGGATATCAGTGAACAACATCTTCAGATTATCCAAACCCTCAAACATACGTTCTGTCACATCTATATTGTTACCGATGATGTTTAGATGTGAAAGGTTATCCGGTAGACGTGGTAAATGTGTCAATCTATTATAGGAGATGTCCAGTTCTTGAATGTTATAAGGCGGAGCAGATTCAACTGTGGACTTATTGTCCCAGTTATATCGTTTGCCATCTACACCCATTCTAGAAAATACACCGTAGGGCAGCTTCGGGATTTTGTTATGGTGCATGTGTAGGAAAGTAAGATCAGACAGTCCCATAAATAGATTAATTGGTATTATCACTATCTTATTATCGGACAAGTCGAGATAAGTTAGATTAGGTAGTTCTCTGAAGACATTGTGTGGCAGAACCGTGATACCATTGTTGTTAAGATAAAGATATCTCAGTGCAGACAAACCATTGAACATATCAGATGGGAAAGTTACTAAGTTATTATAAGCAAGGTGAAGGACAGTAAGTTCAGAAAGGTCGCGAAATATGTTAAAAGGAAGAATATGTATATTATTGTGTGTAAAATACAGTTTTATGAGTTTGGGCGACACATTGAAAGTAATATTGACTAGTTTATTTCTTACCAAATTGAAATATCTCAAATTCGTCAGCTTGTTAAATATATAATCTGGGAGATCAGTTAACTTGTTATTGTCCAAGGCGAGACTAATTAGAGAGGATAGCTCATCAAACACCTCATGATGAAGATCCGCTAACTTGTTGTCATGCAGGTAGAGATGAAACAGACTCGACAGCCCTCTGAACGCATTTCGATTCAGAATTGTTAGCTTATTTCTTGACAAGTCGAGATAAGTCAGTTGAGATAGTTCACTGAACAGCATGGATCGAATGGTTGTTATGTTGTTCAAACCGAGGCTGACATAATTTAGTGAGGAAACATCATCAAACACTTTATATGGAAGATCAGCTATCTTATTATCATACAAGTTGAGAACAACAAGATTCAACAGTCCTTTGAACACATTTTGAGGAAGAAAGCCGATATTATTTCTGTTCAGGTTAAGATGAGTAAGGTTCGTCAATCCCCTGAACGCCTTATAGGAGAGAGAGCTAATGTTACTATAGGACAGATTTATATGAGTAAGACTTAATAGTCCATTGAAAACATCTTGACGTAAAATTGAAATATTATTGTAGGAAAGGTCAAGAAAAACAAGATCAACAAGTCCATCGAAAACATTAGAAGGAAGGGCGGAAATATGACTGTTATGGAGATCAAGACGTCGAGATGGTTCCTGTAGGGACGAGCAAGCATGGATTCCAATACAGCTGTATGGCTCTGCAACAAACAAATAGTATCCTGCTACAACGCTGTATATGAACAATACTTTCATTATTATTTACTTCTACAGTTTCAAGAATTGTTATAATCTAAACCCTGACGCAACTCTTAATTTAATAACGACGCTAATGTAATAATAGTTACATTAAGCGTTGCAACCATTACGCTTAGCAGTAGGGACTGTAATAATTATTACATTAACGGTAGGGACTGCATCGCTACCCTTATTACTTGTAATAATAAACATTGATGACACCAGTACTAATTTTGGTGCAGTGTATGTGCACATTTCAGATATAAATTTCTCGTCAGCATTGCTCGAGATCAAATATTTGGAATGCCAAACAGTGAATAGTAAACATGTAAGTTTTGGACTATTCGAACAAGTTTGATAACGGTTAATGACAGATCCGTGTGTAGTATCATTTTCGAGTCTTTAGGAAATTATTATATTAACGGCAGGACATGTATTGCTAACTGCTACCACAAATGTAATACTTATTGCATTACAATTAATTGTGATTAGCTTTCGCTTCAAATACTTTCATGGAGCAATGCCCCTTTATGGACTAGGAGAAATGTAGTGCATGCAATCGCTTACTATACAACAAAAAGTGGTAGGCCTTTAAGTGGTCATCGCCATGTGTAGTTTTGCATTTGCATTTGGTTTCCAGGCCTTTTTAACATAGTAAACGTAAGATAAAGTAAGTAAAAAACTCTAGGCCAAGCACGATTAAGAGCAAAAGTACAAATTTAGCAAATATGAAGATTGTAACAATTTTACATGTGCACATTTTCAATTGTGTAGCGTTATGTATGATGTAGGGCTGGTACAATTAATCGATGTTTGTACTGTGATACTATTACTCACTTACAGACCTTCACCATATAACGATGAAGTTCTTGTTGCCTTAAAAGCATATGGATGTTGTACTGGCACATGCCTCTAAGCCTCTAAGTTGTTTAAAATCACATCTATCTTGTTGATCATGAATGGTTTGTGTAAAATTTGTTTTATTATTTAGCCAGATTACATTGTATCTTCAACTGTGATCTGTGAGGAGACTAGGTTTCCATGAATACAATATTGCGATGTTATGTTATGCAGTGTTGATCATTAAAAAGATGATTATATACAATTTGATCACGTGTAAATTCTTATTCTTAATCTAAAAGGTACAGCCAAAACCTGTGACCTTCCAAAAAAGCGAATATTTTTTCAAACACAATATGTTGGTGTTAAGAAATATTGTGATGCATTTTGACTACAAAAGAAGCTATTTTCGAAAGGTCGTATCAATGCAACTATATATTAGCAACAACATAACAAAGGAGCAACACAAAGCAATAACCCTTTGATTCCGTGACCTTGAAAGTTGTGTTGTATTGTCTATTAACGTCCGCGCAACAGCTTGAGTCATTTGCAGATAATATCATAGGTACATGGCATGCATGGCAGACACAATACATGTACCCAACCCACTACCCACACCGTTATACTGACTCCAGGCCGTTTAGTTCCTTGCTCCTTGCAGTATTAATGTTTAAATGGGGGGAAGCTTCAAGTGCCATTTTAAACGTCTTTGATATGACACGGCTGACGGGGATCATCATAATGTGTATGCATACAAACAGTGAGGTAACTGGCATTTTAACCACATGCAAGGTTTGATGGCATTCTAATAATTAATCTAATTATAATCATAACTTTATTATATTTAGCGTAGCTGTTGCAACGTTTATTGTAATACAGCGCCGTTATTACATTAAGAGTTGCATCAAACCCTGATAAGTTTCAGGGGCAGCAAGTGAAGAAAGTGTTCACAAACCAACGTATTTGTTTAAATTTGTCGTCTAAACCTATTTTTGTCTCGAAGAGAAAACGTTCCTGACATATTTTCATTTATGGCTTGTTGTTGAGTGCCATATTTTTGAGTATGTAATTCTGATTATGTTTCATTTTGTCTTTTTTTTTTCATATTCAATTTCTGTTTGACCACTTAAACTTCATCGTGATAACGTTTCTACCCAATATTATTTTCATAAGGTACTTGTTGGTATAATGTTAATATATACTGAAATGTCATTTGATATTCTGAAAAATAGTGAGTTATCGAAAATATCAGAGCATAAGTAGATACCATTATTTTCATATAGTTTCAAAAATATTTTTCAGTGTGGTATTCACAAAAATAGTTTTTATAAATTCAAAGATGTTGAGGACGTGTCAACACAATCATAATTCAAAATCTAAGTGGAATCGTAAGTGATAAGACCAGGTGTTCCTAAAGAGTAAGTGTCTTCATTGATAATGCCGACTGTGTAAGCAATGTCATGTTCCCAAATAAGAATTAAAATTCATTCTAGTGGCTCATTTCAGAACATACAAATGTATATTTCAAAATTATCAGATGAATATTACAAAATGTGTGAGTTGGTTTCTTTAGTCACATTCTAGATCTCAAAGTTGAAACCCTTTGCATCACCGTTGAGTCCTATGAAAACAGCTCAACTGTATAGTGTAGTTAGCTTCATTATTCGACTCTGCTGTATTGGATTCTAAATTTGTATTTGCTTGTTTGCTATGACCATCACGAAATGATAGGTAACGTTACGACAGAATCATTACTATGTAACAGTAAAACTTACCACAGCCGACTCCTGTAGGTCTCTCTTGACATTTTATACAACAGCTATATTCCACAAGTTGACGGGATGTGTTTTGCCGACAAGTTTGCTCTTCTGTACTTAGATGTTCTCCTAAAACCGAATCAAGAATTCGGTTTCGTCCATAAACAGGAATATCAACAAAAATAACTTTGGATAGGAAAAGCAATTAATAAGAGAAAACCGAGATATAAAAAAAATAAGTAGCCCTGTGTTTAAGTGCTTGGGCAACCTTACTCAGTGAAACTACACTACAAGTCTAGATCCAGAGGTACTAGCAATAAGAAATAACAGGTAAAGGGTATCGGTATAAATAATTGTCCCATTTTAATATCTCAGTATGCTGGTGATACCTCTTTAATTTTAGATGGAACTTAAATTTCTCTGAAAGAAGCATTAAATGAACTAAATAATTTCGTAAAAATCTCAGGTTTGAAAATTATCATATCAAAATCTCCGGCTATATGGATAGGGAGTAAAAAATATAGAGAGGAAATTCTATATCCAGAATGGAAATCAAAGTGGGGAATTAAAGCATTTAATGTTCTTGGCATCAACTTTCATGTAGATTTACACCTCATCCCTAGACTGAATTATGATAAAAAAAAAAACTAGTTAAAATACTTGGTCTTGGAGAATTACTACACCAATAGGTAGAATTCATATCATAAAATCATTGCTTATTTCGTAATTAAATCACCTATTGATTGCAATACCAAAACCAGATGAGTATTTTCTTAAAAACCTTAACACAGAATTATTCAACTTCTTATGGAAAAGCAAGGTAGATTAAACTAAAAGGGATATAGTAATAAAGAATTATACAGATGGTGGGTTCAAAATGATACATTTAAAGTCCTTATAGATTCTTTGAAATGAACATGGATAAGAAGGTTGTGCATTACATCAGGTAAATGGCAGGAAATTTTAAAAACTTATATAAATATAGACATTTTAGCAAAATTTGGAAGTGATTATAATTTAAAATGTGAAAAAATAAGCAAAAACCTATTTTGGAAAGATGTATTTAATACATGGAACAAATTAGTCAAAGTAAGTGAAAATCAATACAAGGGAGATAACTCCATTATACTTTACAAGAAATCAGACAAGTTTTTAACATTGCAACAAATT